GTCATCCTTTGTGTAACCCTGTTAACATTTTAGATTATTCTGGGAAATCCTGTGGTCCAACTACTATGGAATGTAGTTAGGAAAAACAGTGTTTTCTCAGATATTTCAGATGTGGAATATTTATTTTGTAGCCAAAGAAACTTGTTGCCAAGCAACTGACCATGTGTAGGATCCACTGCCAACTGTACTTGGAAAAAAAGGAAAGAAACCTACTTACCTCTCCTCAGGCTGTATGGGAATGTTTGCAATGCAGTGAAGAGGAATCTTAGAGTAAAATCTGTGTGACAGAAGATTTATTGTATCATTGTATTGTATTTATTGTACCATTCTATCACTGTTAGTAGTCTTCGGTCATTTAGGCCTTTGAGTCACATGATGGACAGAAGAACTAGTAAAGACATCGGTGCAGGAAATCCAGTCATTTTCAGAAGCCTTCCAGTTTGAAGTCTGCTTCATCTGAGCCCTAGGTGGTGGAGTTTGATCACTTGCTTTTCACTGGGCTTCTGGTCCAAAAACGGGTGAGGACCTTGGATTCAATTCTGCTCAGATTCTTTTATTGATTGGGTACTTTTGCTTGATCCAGGTGTTCAAATCCTGTTTGTTTCACAATTCAGGTACCAAAACTCCTCTGGTTTTCAGAGGAGCTGAAGATGCTCGGCTTGCGCTCAGTGGATGATGGTTAAAATATGAAATAAATTGCTTTGAAGGAAGCTTACAGCAGTGTGGTTGTAACTGTTTCCACATAAGCAAAGCAATCCCTACTGCATAAATCTGTTGAATGAAAAATACCTAGTTTGGGAGTTGTGTGTTGGTGAACAAATGGGCTCATTTCACTGGACGTAGCTTGAGAAGAATAAACATTCACTCTGGATTAACGTGGATTTTGTTAAGATTCAGTGGGTATGTCTGTAGTGAATGCTTCCACCTCTTCTTCTGGACTGAGGCGTTTATCAGCCATACTAATGGGGAAGAGCGTTCATTAACTGCTCTCTTAAAATGGCCTGATTGGCCCTAGGTGGACCCAAGGAAATGCTACCTGCCTGGGTAAATGGCCTGGCTAAGTAAATCTTATGTAGCTAAGTCTTACGGAGAAGTGGGTCAAGAAACTATAGGAAGACACAAGAGAGAGCTGTGAAATGGAAGGGTTTAGGAGCAGTCTCAGTGATAGTTCAGAACTTTCATGAGAGATAGAAGGATTATTTCTCATAGTATGAATCTTCTGGGGTTTCTCAAAGATGTTCAGGAAGCATCTGTTTATCTATGTTTCCAGAGTGAATTAGTTCATCTGTTCTTTGTTGTCTGTGTAGCGCAGTTCCATGCTTCACTGCCTACTTTGGAGATGTTGCTTGGGTTTCTCTGAGGAGAAGTCAAGATGTCAAATCCTTAATGTTTTCAAGCACAAAAGAAGCTTGCCCATGATGCTGCTGTTCAGCTTCCTAAAGCTTCTTCTCCAACCTTAGCTCTTCTTTCCATTTTGTCCTCTTGCTTCAGAATAATGCCTGTCCGTTGACCTTGTTTAGCAGTCAAAGCTCCACATGGTGGTATCACCTGTTCTGGCGCTTGATCTTCAACTGCTGGTGGGGTTTGTGTGCACACATGTTAATTTGGTTCACTTCTGTGACCACAGATTATTTAAAAATGTTAACTATGTGAGGCATCTTCATGGCTGTCATGCATTAACTGGAAACCTCAAGTAGTGGATTACTTCAAAAAATGCTATTTCACATTTATTTCAATTGTGCAAGAATGATTATTGTTCTTAAGTAAGACGGAAAAAGGTTTACTGAACATGAAGATAAAGATGCTTACTGTGTTTTTGGTGTGTTTTGGGAATTAATCTCCCTGAATTCTACTCATTATGTTTTTCTCTAACTGAGAGTATGTGTAACTTCTGTGCTGATGAGCTTGAGATTTTTATTAACATAATTTCATTTGGTGAAAGTCTTTAGGTTTTAGGCTGGATTCCAAAAATATAGTTATTCAAAGTGTAGTTCTATACCGTGAAAACAGCTAAATTTACTTTTGGTGCAAAATAGTGCAAGAGTATCATTGAAGAATTCAGTTTCTGTCATGTAAGTGTTACTGTAATATTAATAACAAGAAAAAAAAATCAGCAGTACATAGCAGCTCTAAAGTGTAAAACCTTTTGCTCTAATTATATGTACAAATACATATTGGCCATTTGCAGTCTGTGGCATAGTTTAGACAGCCTGTGGTGATATTTCTTTCCATTACTTCAACAGAGGAACCTCCCTTGAATAGTTTCCTTGCCTGCAGATTACACTCTTATAGTTTAGAGGAGAGCTGGAAATCCTGTCAGTTCTTATGCAAGTAATAGCTCATTGCATTCCTTATGTGAGCAAAATCACTGACAAAGATATCTTCTGAATTGTCAGTTACTTCCCAATATTTACTCCCATGTTAATATACCACAGGCAGTATTTTAGACAGTTCATGAGTTAGATAAATAACCTCCCACAACAGTGTTGTGTCGATGATGGTAGCAGGATTATTTTTCATCCAGAACAGGAAATATATCTAGGAGGGATGAGAGATTCCTTCTTGTTATGAATAATTTTTGTAGTATATGGAATATTATTTCCCAGATGAAATCAGATGTTGACATACCCATGGTTTGTACTAAATATTAGAATTTTGGGTTAGCCATTTAGCATCTTGACCTCACCAGCATGGGTATGTAAGAATTGTACTTGGTATCTAACAATGAATGAACTTGTTTTCTCCATTTGCATAAACGTTGAAGCGAAGTGAATGTTCAAGAACAGAAATATCTTTTTTTAATGACACTCACAGCATTTTAATTCATATCCTGCAAACATTGTTTAACCACCAAAAAAAAAAAAAAAAGGCATAAATTTTAAAAATAATCTGCAGACTGTGGCTGCCTAAAGATCCATCCTGGAAATACTGTTTAGCCATCTTGAAAACTTTCCTGTTCATGTCACAGGAGGGAATTGAGCAAATACTGTCCAATTCTGCTATCCACTCATAAACAAGAATAACAGCTGATAGAACTCTGATTCAGTTCCATTGTCAGAAATATGTTTTTTTAACAGATAATTTCGAATAACAGGTTTTGTAAGATGGGGAGCTACGTACTCCCTCATTTGATGGCAACAGCTATTGAAAACATTAACAGCTAAAGTCTGCTTTCCCAGCTCTAATATGGGCACAATGTAGTGGCTGTGCTATATTATGCATTATTTTGTTTGTATTTTGTGCTCTTCATACATGCTGTGGCTGCTTGGAAGGTCATTAATACTCATCCTAGCCCCGGTTCTTGGCTGTGCTGTAGTTAGTCTGCAATGGTCTACTGGATCTATACCATGAAAGGCAATCTATGAGCAAGGTAATCCTTTGTGGCCACTCTGTTGCCTAACAGCTCCTATGCTGCATAGGGCGCAAAGCTGTAAGCAAAGGGACTATGGTCAAAACATTTCAACAATGCCTGAAACCTGCACTAGCTCGAAGTCACTGACAGGTGGTGAAAAGCAGAACAGCTCTGAAGACGCTCCACTTCACACTAGGATTTGACCTGGAGGGTAGCCAGCCTCATGCTCCTGGCAGCGTCCAGTACTTTGTACTTGCCTTGGCTTCACTCTGGGTTCTTGTGCAGTTTGAATGTTGCTGAGAGCTTGGCTCAGTGAGGGTGTGCTGGCTACGGCCAGGCTCTACTTTTCTGAGTACTTGGATGTGTTGCATGCACACTGCTTGTGGCTGGGGCTGCAATGAATATATGTATAAGTTATAGCTGGCAAGCGCACAGCTGGTAAATAGAAGGAATAGAAGACAACTGGGTACTAGAAATGTGCTTTCACAGTCCTCGTGGTTTGTAGGTATTACCTCATTTGACAATAACATTTACCAGTGCACCTAAGGCAAAAGCAGTATTAAATCATATATCTGCTGAAACACTGCTTCTGGCTGTTCCAGGATTGGAAGGTGCTGAGGTATTTTTATTTTCCATAAAAGATAGTGTTCAAGGGCAGTGGCAGTTCATTGCCAGACATTTTTGTCTTCTTTTTTGTCCCATTTTCCCTTTTTCTGCCTGCCTTCTATTGAGTTGAAAAAGCAGGGTATGCAGCCTTAACAGTCACCTGTGGAATAGTTAGAGCAAAGGGTAATATTCAGAGGCTCCACTTTCCCAAGGTTTCCTGAAGGAGTCTCTGTTTATCATTCAGCCTGCAGTGCCTGTATTGGGTTACACTAGGAATGTGGAAAGCTATATGGGAAAATCTGTCAGGCTGTGAAAAGATCTTAGGCTTTGAAATTTTATGGACCATGCTTGCTAATGCACATTTCGTATTCCAGGGTGTCTGGCTACCCTTGCTTCTCATAAGGGTGTGATGGACATTGTAGACTATATGTACATGTTTTGTTACATAAACTAGGACACTGACTTAAGGAAGCCACAGGGAGGAAATCCTATTAAGGGATAAATTATAGTAACACCTACTAGTGTTGGTATAGTCCTCATTTAAAAGACATGATTTCTACTATAGTAAGGAGCACTGGTGTAATTCTTTTTCCACAATAGCATTCCAGTAAAATCTCAGTTTACAAGTTTTTCCTACATAAAAATAATTATGAGAGACTCATCTACAGGTTGGAACTTCAGCTGCTATAAACCAAGTTTATACAAGAGGATTTGCTTTTGGATTTGCTTTTACAGCTATTTCAGCAGATCTAAATTTGCAAGTTGCTAAGTGCAGTTGATAGGACTTGATCAGATGTCTTGAGTTGTACGTGTATTAACTACAGTATATGTTACATGTGCTTTGTAAAATAAAAAAATCCATTAGCTTTGGACTTGATGATCTTAAAGGTCTTTTCCAACCTAGCTGATTCTATGATTCCATGAAATTAGCCTTTGTGCTGACAGGATACAGTGTAAACAGTTCCAAAGGTATGGGGGGCTGTATTGAAAGTTTTCCTTATTGTTACCTTTAATTTGTCTTGTAAGGTTACCTACTGCCCTGATAATATCATTGAAAAAAGGAAAGACAATAAAAACACAGGAAATGGAAGGAGCTTCCCGATTAAAAAGCTGCAGCGACATGTGAGCATTAAAATGTTTTCCTCTTTTTTTTTTTTTCTTTTTCCTTTCCCCTCTCTGTTGAATGGACTCGCTAAGCTAGTTGGCTTTCCCAACTGAAAAGGTGAGATATTAGCAGCAAATCTACTGACGAGGGGTTCACAGCTTGAGTTATCTGTATGTGTGTGCTTGTAGAAAATAAGGAATTAATTCCAAAGCTACAGGAGTTTGTCTACATGATCACGTCAGTTAGTTTCTATAAAGCAAGACTTCAGGTTTATGAATGCAACAAGAGTTTAAGTCAGTCAGAAAAAAACATTTTAGGATTTTATGCATCTAAACAAAGATGGAAACTTTGCTCAGACAGCAGTAGACACCCACTTCAGATATAAAAAAAGCCTTTAAGGAGAGGCTCTATTAATAAGGATTCTTCTGTATATGTTGCAAAAGAGCAGTTGGATGAAATTCTGTTACCTGCTTTATACAAATCAGACCATATTCTTGTAATTTGACTGTAAAATGACTTGATATATTTCTTGGGTAACTCTGTTGTCTTTGTTCGGTAACTCCCTGTTTTAAACAACAGGAGTTGTTTAGAAGTTACTAGGGATTTGTTCACCAGAATACAGAAATGCTGGTCTCTGAAAGCCGCAGCTCCCTTGAGCAGACCACTGTTAAGAAGACATGGCCTAGAATAAACTTCATGCCTAATGAATAAGCATGGATGAGGGACCATGAATTTCACCTGTGATTCCTGTCTGTAGCACCTGGATGGGTGTTGGGCAGATTGAATCCCTAGCAACACATAAGCTTATGCTTGCTTAGAGGTTCATGCATGTATTGAAGGTAATGGATTATAGACACCTTTCCTTAATGTTTATGTTGTTTTGTTGGGCTTATACCCAGATCTTAGTGTAATTCAAACATCTTACTTTTTGTTTAAGGTATGAAGCAAATGCATTGTGAAACTGATGTATTTCCAAATAATTTTGTTGTCAGGCAATTAAAATATCATGTGCTATAAACATCTCTAAGATGCTATGGATGGGAAGGTTGCCAGTTTCACAAGTCACATTGCTTTCAAAAGTACAATGAACGTACAGTACTCTGAACAGTCTGGAAAGAAAAGTCATTTTCCAGCTCTTAAAAATCTTTTTTTAGCTTTTTGCAGTGCTCTGAAGTCAAATTATGATGATTTTAAAGAGAGAACCATTAATTGCCAATGAATTGTCAGTTCTGGTGCATTTAAATTATGAACAGCATGGTTTGGTCCATGCTTAGTATCTTAATTGCGTCTATGAAATGCTTTGAAAGTAAAGCTAGCCAGAAAATCTGTGCTGCTTATATGAAAAAATAAATCAATTTGCTTTATCATGTTATAAAAAAAAATTACACCTACTTACTCCACTGTTGGTGTTTCTGGCTAAGAATATGACTGTGTAGATGGGGAATTTAAAGTGTGGTCTGCTGGATTTGACTCTTTTGACATGGTTAGATGCCAGATTATTTGCATTCACTTTGAAAATTGCATCTGTCATGGGGCTGATCATAGCATCATAGAATCACAGATAGGTTTGGGTTGGAAGGGACCTTAAGGATCATCCAATTCCAACCCCCTGCAATGGGCAGGGACACCTTCCACTAGACCAGGTTGCTCCAAGCCCTCTCCAAGCTGGCCTTGAACATTGCCAGGGATGGCACAGCCACAATGTATATAAATCAATATACACATATATAATATAAATCAACCTACATGTTCTGCTATGTTTTACGTAGTACTGCTGATTGCTTATCAAATTGATTTCAATTTCTAACAAGCTGAAAAGCAGCTCTTGAAGCAATTTGTTAGCTTTAACAGGAAGTATTGTGAACCTGATGCCTTAGAAATGTAGTTAGAAGTGTGAATGTAATATGATTTACTTCTAACGTACTGATTATTGTTGATCTGTGTCTGTTGACTTAATTGCAGGATGAAGATGGGAGTGTTGTGCCTGGTTGTGTCTCTTGTGAGCATTCAGAGGAGCAAAGTCTCCATGTGAGAGAGCCAGGTCCTGTTCCCTGTGCTGCCAGTGCCTTCTGGTGTGCTTTCAGAGGTATTATTCAACAAGGTTCACTCAGGGAAACATCCTAAGCTAATTAAAATGAATGTTGCAGACTCAGTGTAATATACTTAAAAGAAATAACATTTTAGAGCCTGTACTTGTTATCTAAAAATAAGAAAAAACAATGTGGCAACGTTAATGAGCCGTCCCAAAGTAATAAAAGCTTCTTTAGTCCATTGTTGCTCTTTAGGAACAAGATTTCTGATGAGGAAACCTCAGAGGACTGGGAACAATTGGAAAACTTTATCTGAACAATTAAGATTAGCTTGAGTGATATAATTATTTAGGAAGTAGTGGGCCATGTGTGCTGAGCACTGATGTGCTAAACACACACATTGGATAGAATCATAGAATAGTTAGGGTTGGAAAGGACCTTAAGATCATGTACTTCCAACCCCCCCTGCCATAGGCAGGGATACCGCATACTAAATGATGCCACCCAAGGCTTTGTCCAACCTGGCCTTGAACACCGCCAGGAATGGAGCATTCACAGCTTCCCTGGGCAACCCATTCCAGTGCCTCACCACTCTAACAGGAAAGAATTTCTTCCTTATATCCAACCTAAACTTCCCCCGTTTAAATTTGAACCCGTTACCCCTTGTCCTATCACTACAGTCCCTAATGAAGAGTCCCTCTCCAGCACCCTTGTAGGCCCCGTTCAGATACTGGAAGGCTGCTATGAGGTCTCCACGCAGCCTTATCTTCTCCAAGCTGAACAGCCCCAACTTCCTCAGCCTGTCTTTATACAGGAGGTGCTCCAGTCCCCTGATCATCCTCATGGCCCTCCTCTGGACTTGTTCCAGCAGTTCCATGTCCTTTTTATGTTGAGGACACCAGAACTGCACACAATACTCCAGGTGAGGTCTCATGAGAGCAGAGTAGAGGGGCAGGATCACCTCCTTCGACCTGCTGGTCCCGCTCCTTTTGATGCAGCCCAGGATACGGTTGGCTTTCTGGGCTGTGAGCGCACACTGAAGCCGGCTCATGTTCATTTTCTCATCAACCAACACCCCCAAGTCCTCCTCCTCAGGGCTGCTCTGAATCTCTTCTCTGCCCAACCTGTAGCTGTGCCTGGGATTGCTCCAACCCAGGTGTAGGACCTTGCACTTGGCATGGTTAAACTTCATGAGGTTGGCATCAGCCCACCTCACAAGCGTGTCAAGGTCCCTCTGGATGGCATTCCTTCCCTCCAGGGTATCAACTGAACCGCACAGCTTGGTGTCATCGGCAAACTTGCTGAGGGCGCACTCAACCCCACTGTCTATGTCAGCAACAAAGATGTTGAACAAGACCGGTCCCAGCACTGATCCCTGAGGGACACCACTTGTTACTGGTCTCCAGCCGGACATTGAGCCATTGACCACAACTCCTTGCATGCAGCCATCCAGCCAGTTCTTTATCCACCGAGTGGTCCACCTATCAAATTGATGTCTCTCCAATTTAGAGACAAGGATGTTGTGTGGGACAGTGCCAAACGCTTTGCACAAGTCCAGGTAGATGACATCAACTGCTCTACCCCTGTCCATCAGTTCTGTAGCCCCATCATAGAAGGCCACCAAATTGGTCAGGCAGGATTTCCCCTTAGTGAAGCCATGCTGGCTGTCACCGAGCACCTTGTTTTTCATGTGCCTTAGCATGCCTTCCAGGAGAACCTGCTCCAAGATTTTGCCAGGCACAGAGGTGAGACTGACTGGTCTGTAGTTCCCTGGATCATCCATTTTCCCCTTTTGAAAATGGGGGTTATATTTCTCTTTTTCCAGTCATCGGGAACTTCACCTGACTGCCATGAGTTTTCAAATATGATGGACAGTGCCTTAGCAACTTCATTCGCCAACTCCTTCAGGACCCGCAAATGGATTTCATCAGGTCCCATGGACTTGTGCATGTTCAGGTTTTTAGAATGGTCTCAAACCAGATCCTCTCCTACAGTGGGCCTAAGGTCTTCATTTTCACAGTCCCTGTGTCTGCCTTCCAAGACTTGGGTGGTTTGGTCAGAGCCTTTGCCAGTGAAGACCGAGGCAAAGAAGTCTTTAAGAACCTCAGCCTTCTTCCAATCCAGGGTAGCCAGTTCTCCTGAGAGCTTCTGAAGGGGGCCTACATTGTCCTTAGTCTGTCTTTTATTCGCTACGTACCTATAGAATCCCTCCCTGTTATCTTTCACACCCCTAGCCAAGTTTAATTCTGACTGGGCCTTAGCTTTCCTAACTTGGTCCCTGGCTTCCCAGACAACCTCCCTGTACTCTTCCCAGGCCACCTGTCCTTGCTTCCACCTTTTATAAGCCTCTTTTTTTCCTTCAAATTTTCCTCAGGAGCTCCTTATCCACCCAAGGAGGTCTTGTGGCCCTCCTGCTGCACTTCCTTCTAGTTGGCATGCAACACTCCTGAGCTTGTAGCAGGTGATTCTTGAATATCAACCAACAGTCTTGGGCCTCCCTGCCCTCTAGGGCTATATCCCATGGAAACCTTACTAAGCAGGTTCCTGAAGAGGCCAAAGTCTGCTCTCTTGAAGTCCAGGGCAATGGGCTTGCTGTACGCTCTTCTCACCATCCTGAGGATCTCAAATTCGACCATCTCATGATCGCTACAATCAAGGCTGCCCTGGAGCATCACATTTCCAACCAGCCCTTCCCTGTTGGTGAGCACGAGGTCAAGCATGGCACCTCTCCTTGTCGGCTCCTCTACTACTTGCAGAAGGAAGTTGTCTTCCACACAATCGTGGATCTTCCTGGATTGCTTGTGCCGGCCCGTACCATCTCTCCAACAGAGATCAGGGTGACTGAAGTTCCCCATGAGAACAAGGGCCTGTGAGTGTGAGGCTGTTCCTATCTCTCTATAGAGTGCTTCATCCACAGAGTCCTCTTGGTCAGGCGGTCTGTAACAGATCCCCACAGTAATGTCTCCCAGAGCTGTTCTCCCTTTAACCCTGACCCACAAACTCTCCGTTGACTGCTCACCTGTCCCCAGACAGAGTTCCATACTCTCCAGCCTATCCCTAACATAAAGGGCAACTCCCCCTCCCTGCTTGCCAGGCCTGTCTTTTCTAAAGAGCCTGTAACCTTCCATTCCAACACTCCAGTCATAGGAGCCATCCCACCATGTTTCTGTGATGCCTATTATATCATACCCCCGTAGACGTGCACACATCTCTAATTCCTCTTGTTTGTTCCCCATGCTATGTGCGTTTGCATAGAGGCATCTGAGCTGCGCTCCAAATGGAGCCGGCTCATTGGCTGGTGTGGCTGGAATATCTCTACATTGCTCCAAGCATTTATTATAGGTGCTGGCAACTGATTGGGTGTGTTGGGATGGAATGACGCCCCCCTCCCCTAGCGCATCTAGTTTAAAGCCTCCTTGTCCGGTTTGGCAAGCCTTCTACCAAAACTGCTCTTCCCTAGACCAGCTCCACCAGCCCCCAGTAGACCTGGCCTACTAACTTGGGATCATGCGCTCTAATCCAGTCTACTGGAAGATGTCTCAGTGTAGAAAGGTTGTGTTAACTAACCTCTTGTGTTACACTCCTTCAGCAGTGGGAAAGGACCACTACTGTGAGGAGTTATTCAACACTGGTGCTGCATTGCACATCAGGAGTGGTGTTGGGAGAAGTGGTGCATGCTGAAGGTGTTACTGTATTCTAACTTGCATTATTTTGGAAACTTCATACTTAATTTGGAAATTGCATCTGGAAAAAGAAGACAATTAGTTCTTTTCTGAGGCTTAGTGATGTGGTATATAAATATGACTGAAGGAATGGCATGAGATTTTACCGCAAGTGCTGAGGGAGTCATAGATGGACATTAGCAAAAGAACAGGAGGAATGAATGGGGATATGCACCAAGCGTTTATTCTCTTTGAAAGATGATCTCCCTGCCTGGAGACTTAGAGTTACTAAATAGTTAATGGTTGCAGATAGGATAGACGGCCTCAAGATTGATGGCTGACTGTTGTTCTTCTAGGTTTTTAATCCAGGCTTCTGCTGGAATGCAAAATTCCTAGCTTGAGATCATTTACACAAGGACAGTAAGAGGAAAGAGGCAGTTGCAGTATTTGTCTGCTTCTCAATCTACCCAAGATGTAAAACTGTTTTTGCTTGCAGTGACATGCCTGTTGATGCCAGGCCATGTAACACTTTCTTATTACAACCCTTTGCTTTCAGTTAAAAGTAAAAATCTTCCCTAATACACTGCTTATTTCTTGCACTGAATTATAGTTGTGTTGTCTACACAGATAACTCCTGAGGACTTGGGAGGTCACTGTGGCAAAGCAGAAAGTGCCTGAGTCACTTAGGGTGGGCAGCATGCCAGTAGCTGTGCTCTTAATCTAAATTCATTTCATCCCTCTGCAGAAATACCAGAATACACCCAGCATACAACAGGGGACAAAAGAGTTATACAATAAGCAGAGATGGGCCTGAATCAGTCTGAACTAGGAGGTACTTTCCTGTGAGTGCATGCCTGAAACATCCAGCTTGTCTTCACTGGTGTTAATAGACCAGAGGCTGGCACAGGGTATGGAGCACGGGGTCAGGTAAGTAATCTAAACTTTGAAGTGTGACTCCAAACTGCAAGACATACATAGATAATGACTATGAAGCAGTTGTCTCAAGTGTAAAGGGTTCTTTACAATAACACCTGCTAAACTTCCTTTGATTTTCCATTAACAAAATACCAGCAGAGAGGCATGAGTACGGAAGGCTGAGAAAAAGAGAGCTCTATAACATTTTAAGGGTAGTTTTTAAAAATGGTAACTCTAAAAGAATGTGTGCTATTGTTTTGATTTGTTTTTAGCTTCTGATCATTCCTGTAATACACAGAGCATGAAAATGGGATAAATATTCTGTGCCCAACTACATACATTAGACTTTGAAAGTGTGGCTTAGAGTGCTCCTTTGCTCATTGGATGTCATTCTGTGAAGGATAAGCAAGAACTTCTGCTCAGGTCAAGGGTGACACAGCAGACTGCAGACAGTTGGTGCTGATTACATTAATTAAGATGACCTGAATTGGCAATAGGTAAAAGTAGGATTGAGTTTCCATATGCAAAGTAAACATATGAATGGATTCCTGCCAGTGCTAGAAGATAATTGATAATTGAATTAGAAATGGGAGCTAGATTAACTGATTACTAGATTAGCTATAAATTCTTAAATAATGGGTCAGTTTTGGTTAAAATGCATAAGAATGCTGAATATAGAATCATAGAATGCTTTAGGTTAGAAGGGACTCCAAAGATCATCCAGCCCCAATTTTAAATCAAAGTTTCCATCCAAATATCATGTGCTGTGACTTCCTACACTTCTGTAGTGAAGCAGCTATGGTGAAAATTCTGTACAAGCGGAGAACTGAACTTTTAAAGGTGAAACTTGAAGAAATATTTAAATCTTTGTTACTTATTTCTGGTTACTGAAGAATTCTCTAATACACCAGATAGTCTTCATACTTCCCCCCCCCCCCAGTTATGCCTCTATAAATCACCAGAATATGGGCTGTGGAGCATGTAGCAATTGCACCTGTGATGCGTGCGGCTTTGGGAGTTATCCCTACCTCCTCTTGGAAATAAATACCACAGCCTGCTTTCCCTGCCCTCTCTGCCCCACAGAGGTTCCTTAACTCCTGAATTTTAGCAATGAGACAGGACATCCTGTGTCATTTCACTAAGTCCATATGGGTCTCAAGTGCTTTTCCCAAGGTGAGGATTAGAGAACATTAAATGCTGCTTGATGGAGAGAAGAAATCTTGTGTAATGCTTTTGTTCTGCTAACATCAATGTGAAGAGCTGCCTGGGAGTTTTGGAATGGAATCTGTCATTGTTGTAATCCTGTTCTGGAAAATCGTGATGGAGACAGCACAGGGAGTGATGTCAGTGGCTGGCTGACACAGTCAATGTCCACAGCAAACTCATTTCCTTACCAAACTTCCCTTTGTCTCTGACATTTAAGTGCCCAATTGGCAAGCTTATTCGTGGTGTTTTTTTATGTTTGTTTCTTTTTGCCTTTCCCAGCTGTGTTAAAATTCAAAACACAGGTATGTGAGAGAGGTTCATACAGAGGAGGGTCTGTTCAATGCTCTCTGCAGACTTCAGAGGAATTTTTGTGTACTCTGCCTTCAGCGTCATATGCAGGAACTTCTTTATGTCCATAAACAAACCTTCTGTGTATTAGCTTTAAATCTTAGCACTTCTGTCACAGTCTATGGCAAGTGGTAAAACTATAAGAAAAATGCGAGAAGGAAGCCTTGGATTGTAATCCTGTGTTAAGAGATGGATTGCCTTTTATCCTGTGTAAGTCATCTCCTGTGTAGTGGGCACCCTTGTTTGTAAGGCAGTGTTGCAGATAAATCATGTTTGTATTTAGATACCCTTAGATGAACTCTTCCCTGTGAGGGTGTCGAGGCACTGGCACAGGTTGCTCAGAGAAGCTGTGGCTGCCCCATCCCTGGCAGTGTTCAAGGCCAGGCTGGATGGGGCTCGGAACAACCTGGTCTAGTGGAAGGTGTCCCTGCCCATGGCAGGGGGTTGGAACTGGATGAGCTTTAAGGTCCCTTCCAACCCTAAACCATTCTGTGGTTCGATGGTAACTGGAAAGTCAGCTCAGCTTTAAATGGTGGTAAGTGCATGAAACTTTTGAGACTTAAAATCAAAAATGCTACATCATTGTTCCCTGTGAGGCAAACCTTGGTTATCTACTGCGGTCAGAAACAACCCATTGCATGCTGGCACTCTGTAAGTGCTGGAGTTTTTCCTGTGCACAGTGTTTCTGTTTGCTGCAAGCTGGAAGGAAGTTCTACTGAAACAGTTTGTGGCTAAAAACTCAAGTGAATCTCATAGCAAGGATCTATCAAAAGCAAGACTGTTTTTAAATGCACCAAGCAGAGAACAACGGAAAGCCGTGTAGCCTGTTGGAAATGCCATACTAGATTTCCAGCCTAACTTTATAACCTTTGCATAATTCCTAAACTCTTTGATGGTATCACTAATTATTTGCTAAAAATGCCTGTCAGTAATAGATAGTTTTCTTAAACAGTGTTAATTCTGCTTCCACATGGAGAACATCTTTTCCTGCTTTGTTTTTGATGCTCTTGGGTAATGCTTCATGGTGGGGGTGAAGGCAAGCTGAGCTCCCAACTGGGAATCTTCAACAAAAACTATTAAGTGGTGATAAATCATTGGAGGCTCAGCATGCGATTAAAAGCTGTGGCCGCCAGCAGTGACCCATGGGGATGGAGGTATCAGTGACAGAGAGCAGGGGGAGGTGTCTGGCATTCCTGTTGGGAGGCCTAACCAGGACACCAGGGTTTGTTTATGTTTCTGTTCCAGCAACTCCTGTGAAATGCCCTCTGTCTGTACAGGGAACACACAGGGAGTTAAGTAAAGGATCTTTGGTATTTCTCGAAATGTCAAGGCATGGAGGCTTGAAGGTAACGTGTGAGTAGAATTCTCTGGAATTGTGGAGTAGAAACCAAATGGTTAGTTCAGGGCTCTGTGATTCAATAGTCAGCATCACATAGGTATTGTAATTTTAGGTGAGCTTCACACAGATGCACAGAATGTTGTAAATATGGCTCTTTTCCTTTCAAGTCCATCTAAAAAAATCATTTTTGTTGGACCAGGCATGGGGAACGTTCAATCTCAAGTTCTACTTTGATTTTGGCATAAGAGAAATCTTGATTAGATGAGTCAAAAAAGAACCTGGCAAAAAGCATTATGATTTGGAATATTTTCTTTTATGTTTGGAGCAATAACAGTATGTTTTGTTGCTGTGCAGAGAGAGGGGAGACATAATTTCTATGTGTTATTTTACATATCAGCTAATTGCCAGCAAACATCGTGCTAGGTGTTTATCAGCAAGTCCAGAAGTACAGTTCCAGTTGCGAAATGCTGGCAAGATGGGGCAGCAATGAAGGAAAAGAAGGGTTTGGAAGGCAGCGAGGAGCAGGATGGATGAGAGCTCCAAGCCCTTATGAGGTGGTAGTCTCTGAGTTACGATGGCAGAGAACTCTAAGGCCAGGAGGGGGGAATCTTGGTTTGATAAGCGGAAATGGTCACAGGGAAGGACTTGAACAGAGGAAAAGTCACAATAACCCAGTGAATGAGGTGCCTTTGATGACCAAAGCAATTTACATTGGTAAAAGGGCTGCAGAAACTTTATTTTTTTGAATGCCTCATTGTTTTGATAGACTCTGTTTAGAGGTATCCTTTCTTTCCCCATGTATTTATTCTACCTTGTGTGAAAGATGGTCTTGTGATGCTTAAAAGTGTCGTAGGGATTCCTTTATGGGCATGTTGTGTTATGTTTGACAGCAGCAACCCCAGAATGCTCCAGAGAAACACACAAGAAACCTTATGTCAAGTACATCTGAATACACATGAGGGCATCTTCCTATCCTATTCAGGCTTAAGGTCTGAATCATAAGATTTTTATGTTCCTTTCTATGCTCTTTTTATTAGCTTGGACTGGATATTTTCAACAGCCATATAATTCTGAACAGCTAAGAAATAGCTTACTGTAAACTTCTTGCCTTTTCACCAGCACCAGGAATATCTTGCTAAGTTTCACTGTGCTGTGCATAAACAGGTGATTACTCTAGAATTGATTTTGCTCAATGGAATAAACATGACTGATCCAGGCACCCCTTGTAAAGAAAGAACATGAGATTGGTAATAATTTGGTGTAAAAAAGGCTGACAAGGACTCTTAGTGATTTTGGAAACATTATGGTTGCCAGGTGTGCTCTTTCAGATGTCAGGATTTCCTATTACATGCTTCTTCTGGTCAGAAGAAGCAGTTCCTGTGATAATGTTTTAGAGCCCTTAAGACCTGAGGGTTACTCGACCCTGAAGATGAATTTGGGGGCTTTGTTGCAAATTGTGCTTATTATTAAAGACTTCAGTCCTTCACATGTGCCTGAGGGGATAGCAAGATGCTGTGGTAGGTGGAAGATGGAAGAAGCTGACTAAACCAACCCTTTATCATGACCTTGTAGGTTCTTCAGATTCTAGGCACAGAATTGCTTCCTAAACTTCAGTTTCTGTCCAAGTTGCCTTAAGCCACATGGCTTTGAAAATCACTGCTTCTCTCCAAAAATCACTTGCTCTGCCTTGCCCCATCTTTGACATTGGTCTCTTCTGAACCCCTGGAGACATTTTTCTCTTGGCTACTCCCATCCATGCCTGTGTGCAGGCCTCAGGTCCACAAATCCTTTATGGCAGGGAAGGTCTGACAGGCCTTTTAAGATAAAGTCACCTACACCTGGTAGACAACCCTAACAGGCAAATTAAATGATTGTAGGAAATCCTAGGCATATGCAGGAGCCACGTACAGATCTTCTGTGCCTCAGCTGAGTGTTTTAATCTGAATGACACATGAAATACTTGTTCAATATCTAATTTCTATCCACAATTGCAAATCATATAACAATTGTTATTGAATGCTTTACTTAGTAACTAATCCATGTTCATTTGTAGTTTATATTCCAGTACCCTGTCATTTTCTCCAGTTATTTTCTACTTAAAAATATAGAGAAA